GAAACTCGATTCCGCATATTAAAGAATCTTGACTCCTGAAGTGTCGATTCCAAGGGGATGGAAATCCCAATTCTAAGAAAGACGAAATCTCGATTCCATAGGTGGATGAAACTTGGATCTATTCTGTTGAAACATGATTCTTAAAAACTCGATTCCGCATATTAAAGAATCTTGACTCCTGAAGTGTCGATTCCAAGGGGATGGAAATCCCAATTCTAAGAAAGACGAAATCTCGATTCCATAGGTGGATGAAACTTGGATCTATTCTGTTGAAACATGATTCTTAAAAACTAGGAATCTCGTTCCTGGCGATCCCCATTGTATGGACAACGATTCCTAAGACAGAATCTTCTACCCAGTCACAATTACGCGATTCCGGTTCCTAAAACGATTCAGGTTCCCAGGCATTTCCACCAACTATCCATAAACTCTCAAATATTCATAATGACCAAATACTAAATAACTTAAATTCAAGACCACAACTGCAAATCCATACCCCATAGTTCGTAGTCTCCAATCTCCATAGTCCATACAATTCCCAAACTGGCAAAAATCTGAAGTTGAAAACCGCAATACAAAAGATGCATTATCTTCGATATTAAGAGTTTTTGATGACTATGAACCTCTAAACCACATTAAATTCCCATTATAACTTCTCTTTGTGGTTCACAATGAATCCAGTTCAAAAAAGTAAAGTGGCACCTAATGGCCAAAACCTAGGAGGACGCCTAGGTCACACCCTTGCCTAATTGAGAAGAAATACTCTTGGACGAGGGCCATGTTTGACTTAAAAGTTTTTTTTTGACATTTCCCCCCCATTTTTTAACCTTTGGAACCTTAAAAATGCTCAAGAAATGTGATTGTTTTTTTCAAAACTTTCTTTAGGGCTAGTCTGTTTGTAAAGGACCACCTATGCCTAGGCAGGGCATCCATATCCCCTAGGTAGGGAGGGGTGGTTGCCTAGGCGGAAGGCATATCGTTTTTTATTTCATTGATCCCACGAATGTCTTTCTGGGGGCCAATAAAGAAGCATACACCTTGACGAATCAAGGGGTTTCTTGAGACCCTTTCTTGATATAGAAATTGATTAGTAGGCCTTTGAGTTACCATCTTGAGACGATTGATTGTTTGTAATACTTAGATATAATTTGTACTTTTTCGTCTAATTAATATACTTTTGATACTGTGCAAAAAACAATTATCTTTTGTAATTTATACGTAACTTTATCTCCAAATTTTACTAAAAAAGGTAGATACATACACACACACCCTCACACATGCATGCGCACACACTTTACTTTTTATATACTCCCTAAAAGTCGAAATCTATGATACAAGAATTCACAAAACTAAGTAATGGAAAAAGTAGTACATCCACTGCAGTATAGTTCATTTTGATGATTTTAATTGATAAAATGGTTAATATTGAAGGCTCAATTCTTTAAAGCTATTTGTTGGGCTCTAATTTGTGGGTCATGGGAATGTAAATTAGATTTTATTTTCTTAATTAACTAAAACATTTTTTATGAATAAAATTTATATTTTCTTTAACCTTGTTACTTTGATAAATAGAGAACTTCCTTCCATCAATGGTATGGAATGGTATCAATTGTGTAAAATATGAAAGGATTTTATATCCCATTAAAATTGGAGCTTGAAATAGGAGAGCTCTGCCTTTTTCTCTCCCTCGTAGGAAGGAATAATTAATCAAAATTTCTTACTATTGATATTAAAAAATAGAGAGAAAACGCAAAGAATTAACGTCCCATCGAAATAGAGAGAAAAAGGTCTATGGAAACTACGGATGTTAGCTAAACCTGGTGTATCATGGAAAAAGGAGAGATTATCTCCTATGAAAATGGAAATGTAGGCAACATATGGAAATAAGAAAGGTTAACTAGAACTAGACGTTCATTAGAACATGAGATAATTAAACCTAGCTTTCTTTGGAAATAGAAGAGGGTAACTTAACCTAATTCCAAACCTATGAAATGGGTTAGCAAATTCGAAACCTATGTGAAGTTTCCATCTAATTATGGATTTAGGCTAGAGGAACTCACATTTTAGAATGTATCTACGCATACACACAAACATACCATTTAGGTGCTTGAGGAACTCACATTTTAGAATGTATCTACGCACACACACAAACATACCATTTAGGTGCTTGAGGAACTCACATTTAGAATGTATCTACGCACACACACAAACATACCATTTAGGTGCTTGAGGAACTCACATTTAGAAGGTATCTATGCACACACGCCAACATACCCATTTAGGTTTTTGATTTAGGCTTGAAGAACTCACATTAGGTGTATGTGATTGCATTTGAATACGTGTCTATATCTTTCGTTTATGTAGGTTGTCTTGGAAATCTGTTTACATTGAGTAGGTTGCCTCCTATGGGAGAAAAGTTTATTCTAGTTGTGTGTTATGTTATTAGCTAGTTATATGTGGCCCTTTTATGCAAGGGATGAAAAAGACATCCCTCATAGGTGAAGAGTGGAAAATAGTAGTCAGTGAACAATAGATTTGTGAATGTTAGTTTCGAGACTTGTTTTAGTATATGATAGATTTAGAACGAAACTTTGGTAGGTTTTATGACTAATGTATTTGTGGACAAGTGGACCCATTGACTTTGCAGGTTGAGTTGACCCCCTTGAATTCGGGGTTGCATGTTTGGTTTTATTACCCTTAGCTTATCGTACTCTCTTAAATGGCAATACGGTGAAATTTTAGAAAAACAAATAAAGATTGAAAGCCACCTAATTAGAAGGGAGATTGCTAGCAGTTTATCTCTCTCTCTCTC